CTATAGAGCGTCTCACGACCCTAGAGGGTTCTATTCACAATTAATCTTTTTATAAAATATCATATCATTCTCCCTTTAAAAATACGAGTTCTGAAAAATCTTTCGGTAAACAAAAATACCATTGTAATTCAAATACTAATCAATTAGGACAAATTTTCGAAACAGTCCTATTTGAACTTTTATTTGCAAAAAACGGCCCCTTTCAAACTTAATTATAAAAACCGACCTGGTTTGAGCCCTGTCGTTGAAACCAGGTCGGTTTTTAAAAATTTTTTTAAGAAACTTCACGGGAGTTTAACTCCTGTGAAGTTTAGTATATTTTTAAACTTCACGGGAGTTCAATTCCCGTGAAGTTTAATTTCTTCAAAAATCTTCATAGGAGTTGAACTCCCGTGAAGTCTGCTAGAGGTTTAAAAACTATCACGGGAGTTCATCCGCATGGAGAGTTACAGAACGCAAATTTCTCAGAGAACCGCTCTCCTGGGAAATTTAGAATTGCAACTCCCGTGGAGTTTGCGACGCTCGCCTATATAAACGGGCGCGTACTCAGACCAGACTGAATCTTATTTCTCACGCCGCCGCCCCAAACCCTTGCCCTCTCTCCCTCGTTGTAATGACCGTAAAATTTTAATACTGGTTTAAATAATTTTTCTGGTATTTAAGTATTAAAATTTTATTTTTAAAAGAGTCTTTATATTTTTCCTAATTTTCTAGAATTTTCTACGATTTAAAAATCCGATTTTATATTTATTTTAATAGTTTGGATAATTATAAATTTAATTTTTACGGTGAAAACTTTTTAAATTAATATTTGTTACTTATTATTGTTGTTATTATTATTATTATTATTAATTATCTGGTATTAATATTTTTAGCTTGCACCATTATCCCCTATCTCTATTTGTAGCTATCAACTGATCAGCACGATAGTCAATCTGTTAGCTGGCTTTTTCCCAGATTCCCTTATATCAGCGATTCTCTCTCCTATCAATATTTTTCTCTCTCTCTCTCTCTCCAATAATTCATTCTCTCCCTCACCCCCTACACCACTTCCCTAATTTCCTCCTCATTTCACGCAACTCCCCACCTCGTGTTTCCCCCACTCCTCAAAAATCCCCCACGCAGCTCTCTCTCACTCAATCTCACTCTCATTTCTCTCTCGCACACCCTCACTTCCGTGTCCCCTCCTCTCTCTCTCCTCTATTATTACACTCACCCTCTCTCTCGTTCTCATCTCTCACTCCAGCTCTCTCTCCTCATCTTTCGTTCTCTCTCTCTATCTCCAAGCAAACCCAACTCTTACCGTGTCCACCAGCTCACTCCCTCACTCATCATCTCTCTTCATCACCCCATCACCTCGTGCTCCTCCTCCGTTCATCCAGCCGCGCCAAACTCCACCCTCCTCCGAGCTCATCTCAGCGAGCTCCA